TTACAATTGGAATGGGTGCAAATGAAAAACTCATGGACAACTCATGCGGATAAAAACATGAACATGAAATGTCAATGAGTATTACACTATTGAATACTCTGGTGCCATTAAAACAAATAAATATTCGCACTTACACTGAAAAATTCATCAAAGAAACATAAAGAAGTTGACTTTTTATTTGTTCCGACATAATATACCATCATTTTACATTCACATAAATATATTGGGGTAGGTTATTCATTCAACATTTTTTTTCATGTATAATTTTCAACATTAACTGATTTTCAGTGCGACTGTTTGTTGTTTGCTTGACTTTTCAAATTATTGTCATGCGACAGTCGTAAGGAAGTTAACATAAAACTTTTCACGACAAACTTGATCGTTGAACGGAACGAAAAAAATATGCTATCGACGTGCTTTTTTCATCTCGATTTTATATTTTCATTATATTTGTATAAATTCAATGAAGCAGATTCTTTTTTCTTCGTATTTATCAGGCATGGTCAATATCAATGCGATACGTGTGCAATATGTGTTCAGCTTACACAGAACAAAATCGAATAAGATCCAAGAAAAATGAACGCAAAAATGTTTATATGGAATTTGAATGACAGTTGTGATGCACGTTTTAATTTGTTCAGAAGTCACAATTGGATATTTGGCATGTACTTCGAATGCACATACGCCATACTTTGGTGGTTCCATATAAATTTATATTTAATCAAATCTTTCATAAAAGCCTACAGCGATATGATACAAGCATTACATTCATCAGACATGCAAACAATGCAATTTTGATTTTCATTATGGCATCAGTTAAGGCGAGAGTAAATGGGAAAGCCGATGAGCGAAAAGTGCAACGCTTAAAATACTGCAGAATCCCATCATAAATGAATGACAATATTCCATTTTGTTATCGGCAATCTATTAAAGGCCAACCATGAGAGGACACACACACAGAGAGAGAGAGAGAGTGAGAGAATAACAAACATTGTAACGGTATTATAGCCAAAATAGATGGAATAAATCGATTGAACTTGAATGAATACCTTTTGCATACAAAAACGACATCTCAATATCCATCGCTTGAATCGATCCATGATCCTGCGGAAGGAGCAAAAATAAAATTTTATAGCCAATTCTGTTACGTTACTAATGCCAGGGAGCATATGCACGACTATTTTCCATTAAAAATAACATCAACATTGCACACTCACATTCGATTTTAGACGAAACGGTTATATTCAATCTGATTCAACTTTATGCTTTCACGTAGTTTTATAAAATTGTTTAACTAAACACACTTTTAGAAACCGAATCGTTCTTAGTTTTGAGTGAATACCATATCATCGGAATAAATAGCATATTCCACATTGACTATTTTCTCATAATAATATTCGAAGATAATTTAATGTGTAACTATGATGGTAAAATATAAATGGGAATTGGAAGTAAAAAATAAAACGATAATAACAGCTTGGAAATGGGGTCATTTTTTTCATGGCGATTTAAGTAAATTTAATTAATTTCAGTTCATTGTTCGATTCCGTTTTTCCAAATCATTTTCAACTAACAAAACATTGTCACAAATGGTGCCAGTTTTGGCAGCACCTAATGTCATTGATACAATACACAACAAATGTATACATATGTATTCGTTGCCTATCTAATTGGTTTGAAAATGTAAATTCCAAATGTTTGCATATGGAATTGGATACGATGTAAGCCGTGACTATTGTTCCATATGCTTTTTGCATATGTTACACAATTCAAGTCGATCAAACTTATGAAGCCATAATGAGAATGTAAAACGCTGCCGCTGCACAGCACCGTATGCGACAACTTTTAAGGGGCACCAAAAATTTGCCTCACAAAACACAACATACACACACACATATATACTGTATCCGGTCAAAAAGTAATGAAAGGACAACATATGATTAAGTATACCATTTCGTAACAGAGATACGCTTATGACATTATCCATTGAGTTTATACAATGAAATATCACAACGGCTTAAGCTCAGAAATGGTCAAATTTTCGTAAACTCGTGATGTATGAAATGCGTACATTGTTGATGCAAAAATTCCAATTTTTCTTTTTGTCAAATGAAAAATGTCCTTGAATAAAAATTCTTTCGATTTTAGTAATCAGTTTATTTGATTTGGATTCGTTAACGATAATTAGTGGTGGTCTTTTCGATAACTTTTTTTTCTCATTGGTGTTTGCTGTTTGCCGATGTTATTTCCGTTTTCTTTCTCATATTCTTCGTATAACTTATGTGTTATCCTCCGTTACGGTACCCAATATCATGGTAGTTTGTTTTATAATAGTCTCGGCTATTTACCATTTGTTTCTGCTTCATTTATTGACAATGTTACACGTTGTAAAAGTGGAAGAGGATACAATACGATTTTGTTGCATTTTTGGTGGGTATAAATATATTGTAAAACTTGCAATGATAAAAGTGAACTAGAGTAGTAGACCGAGAAAATTGCACGTAAGCTATTTTAGCAATTCAAATTGCATTTACTTGATTGAATTCTCTTTGGATTGAGAGTGTGCGATATTGTGAACTGAAAGTAACGATATTGTAAGTATGAATGGGATGAAGTAATTTTGCAAAAGGCATACCTCTACATATCCAAAACAAGCCGCCCCAAAATCTGAAAGAAAAGCGCTCACATGCAATCAAATATCTCATTCTCAAAATGTCGAATATGGTGGTCATAGAAATGTGGTGTGTGTTTTGCTTCACTAAAGCCATGATTTATATCTTTCCATGGCCGTAAAATAAATTTTATGTTTGTTTCGGGTTATGCATAATCTACAATCGATGCACTTTGGTTTGGCATCGATTTCTCGACCGAAACAGACATACATACGCACATGTTTCCTCCATCTATGTCCTGCTTTTGCTTTGTTTCTTATTTGAAATTTGCCACAAGTGTCACATGCTCAACCGACTCGAGTAGTTCAATCAATTTTCAAGAGATTTATGGGTTTTTAATCCCCTTTTCACTGTTTGATTTTATTAGCTCATCAAATGGAACCCATTCTCAATGTTACAAATAAAAAAAAAACAACAACAACTTTAATTTATTATTGAGATTCGATAATTATCGCTTTAGGTTTATATTATGCACAAGAATTTCGACCTTTGCCACCATTTTGATTTTCCCTTGGGGCGATTTTGGGTGTCTAAATTGAACGTTTGAATAAAATAGTTGCATACATTCGGAAAATCAAAGCTATACGTATGCAAATTTTGAATTGAGTAAAATTCACTTTTTTAGTTCCATCCAAGCATTGATGGAACTAAATCGTGCCATACTAGCTCCACATTTGAACGAAATGACATTGATATCGCAAATATTGAAGCGGAAAACTCAGTTACGGTTGAATCTTTTTCGGTTTATGGTATAATTAAAAGTTATGTTGTAATAAACGGGCGGAAACAAAGTAAGCAAATATCCCTTTGATATTCTCAAGGAAACCAATTAAAATGTCAGCTAATGCACATCCATCTCAATAACGACAGACGACTATCTGTCTATCTGTTTCAATATGAAAAACACTACACACAACATCACTACATCCATACTGCGCTCCTGCTGTTTTCAATCATAATGTTGTATTTAGTGTAGCTGTTGCTAATTTCCGTTGACGAGAAGCGCATCTCTTTTCAACATTCTCACAAAATCTCAAAAAAGCATTAGGAATTACATACTCCAAATTATGCATTTTAACAAACAGTATTCAAAAAGCATCTACATCACAACGCTATCCAAGCGTGATAAGTACATCCTTAAAACTATTTTTCGTTATTGTTGTGTTTGCTGATTGTGATGATGTGAGCGTTTTCATAATGTTTTTTAGATCTTGACGCCAGATTTTGCTTTTATATGGACTGTGATGTCTCGATGTTAAAATGTGGCACGTTTTCCTCGATTTTGAACCATTTCATTTAATTTAGACAACTTTCAGTGTAACGATTGTGTCATTTGTTCAAGTTCGTTGTGATTTTTTTTTTTTGAACATTCAAATGAAAATTAAAATTTCACACAAAACTACTACTTGTGTCAGATTTTAATGAGCATAACTTAGATTCATGCAATAATTTTTCTCAATGAGAAAATGTTGAAGTTTCTCTTATGATGATTACCAAAAAGTTCAAAACAAAAATAATTCAACTCTATTTTAACCGAAGGTATGAAAATTTAATGGGACAATTTAAAAAAAATTGTTAACATAAAATGAGATTGACTTTTAAAAAATCATAACGGCATCTTTTACGGAAATAAAATACAGTTGTTGTAGTGATTTTAAGTAGTTTTGTCTAAATGACCTTTGTCGCATCAGGTTTTGTTTTGCACGACTAAACTTTTGCAGGCATAAACATTTTTTTATGCAAGTTTAATTGAGTTTAAATGAACCTTGATACGGAGAAAATGGTCCGCTGATACTAAAGTGGTATGCATTGTACATTCACAAGTCAATGCTAATTGATGTTTTAATAGTCCTTTTTATACGATTGTGCTAAGTGAACAATGCGCTTGGAAATCGTAAATGACAATTAATTTTTTTTAGCGAAAAAATTTCCATCATAATAGGCAAACAGTAAAACAAAATCAAATCAAAAGTCTTTTCTTCTCATACCAATAGATTGTGAATTCACGACAACCTTAAGTACTACTTATACTCGTACTTAAACATTTACTCTAATACATTAGTTTCATTGTAACATTTAAAACGTAATTTTCGTGAATACAATGATTGTTGTGAACGAATTTTAAAATATATTTTCTCTGAATGTTAAAAAAAGAGAATCATTTATGTCCTTTCAATGTCTTGAACATTTATTGAATCATTCAAATTGGAATCGTTATAACGAAATCCGTTCCGTTTTAATATTGTTATAAGTTCTTTTATGCATGAAGCCTCCATTGAATATGAAATCGATGGCGCTGCCATCGTCCAAACACACTACTGTCATTCAATGAAATTGTAGAAATCAGTGACAAAGCAAGAATACATACAATACAACCGAAGTGAAGAGGTTGATTTTCGTTTGTATATTTTTCGGTGAATAAATTGTTAAACAAATTAAAATTAATCAAAAATGGTGCTGGAAAGTACTATGATATGGTAAGTGAATTTCAATGAAATCGATTTTTTCATCGGTAAATAAAAAAATATTGTATCAACAATGGCATAAATTTGCTTTTGTGCACATTTTTAGGTTATGAGTTTTGTGTTTTGAAGCTAATGATTCAGCATAAATGAGTAGTCTTCATTGTATCAAAACAAGAAAAAAATGCAAAAAATTGTACACAATGCAATGAATTTAAAATATATTTCAACGAAAATCGATAGAAAACTATTAAAAATAATTGTTTTTATTTGTTTTTGTCTTAAAATAAAGCTTCGATAACAGTGACTATCAAAGAAATGGTGACTATTTTCCAACTCGATTGAATGTTCAGAAAGACGGCATTAATTTGATTGGTATGACCAAAATTCGATCAAATCCCGAAAATAATGTTGGCCTCCTAACATACGCAGAGTAAATATGCGCAAATGTTGAATGTGGTTGTTCAGTATATTCATTGAAATTTATTTGTTTGTTTATAGTTCGGTTGAGGTTTTGGCAACACTAACCAGTGATGTTGGTCGAATTTTATCAAAGATGCATTTGGTGCAACCAAAAGGAAATATTAATTTTATCACCGGAGTTCGCATTGCACATGTAAGTTTCAATTTTCAACAAATGAGTTTTCTCAAAATGGTGTATTTTGTCATTTAAAATTAAGATTGACTATTATTCATTGTGTGTGTGTATGGGTGTTTTTTCTCATTTGATATGATTTGAAATCAACAGTTAGTGCTAAAACATCGACAAGGAAAAAATCATAAAATGCGCATTGTGGCATTTGTTGGCTCACCAATATCGAGCGACGAAGGTGATCTCGTAAAATTGGCAAAAAAATTGAAAAAAGAAAAAGTGAATGTAGACATTGTTAGTTTTGGCGATCATTCAGGAAATAATGATGTTCTGACGGCTTTTGTCAATACATTGAATGGCAAAGATGGAACCGGTTCGCATTTAATTAGTGTTCCACGTGGCTCTGTATTGTCGGAAGCATTAATTTCATCGCCAATCATTCAGGGTGAAGATGGTCAAGGTGCGGCCAATTTGGGCGGTGCTGGTTTCGAGTTTGGATTTGATCCCAACGAAGATCCGGAATTGGCTTTGGTATGTGCACAAAAATACACAAAAATATTCAAATCAATACGGCCATTTGGTTCAATTCATATTTTATTCAAATTTAATTTAACCAGGCATTGCGTGTTTCGATGGAAGAACAGCGTCAACGTCAAGAAGATGAACAGCGTCGAGCATTGGCTGAATCGGATTCGAGCGCTGTGAGCGCTGTATCATTGGCCGGTGGCACAACTGCATCAGCATCGGTTGAACCAAATTCAGAAGAGGCAATGTTACAACGTGCCCTGGCCCTTTCAACTGAGACTCCGGTAAAAAGATCTCGTGTTCGTACAATGTTTTGCTTTCTTTTCAAAAACAAACGTCTCGCATTAATTGCTATTAACCAAATAAAATTGACTTTGAAACATTTCCATTAACATTGACATTGTATTGCCATCGTGTATTTGCAATAATAAATACACTGTACACCATTTTGCTTATCAACATTTTTTTTTATTTATAGGATGCGGATGAAGGTATGCCTGATTTTGCCAATATGACCGAAGAAGAACAAATCGCATTTGCAATGCAAATGTCAATGCAAGATCATGGTAAGTATTACATTTTCGTTAAAAAAAATTCGAAAAATCGTCCATTTTAATATTGGGGGACTAAATCAATTTTCGTTCATCGTTTATTTGGCAGCCGAAGAAGTTCCAACGCAACAAGCCAAGCGCCCAAAACAGGAAGAACAACCGATGGAGGTTGATGAAGTGATTAGCGATCCGGAATTTTTACAAAGCGTTTTAGAAAATTTGCCTGGTGTTGATCCACAATCGGAAACCATTCGTGATGCGGTCGGTTCATTGAACAAAGACAAAAAACCATCAAACAAGGACTCTTCAAATGATAAATAAAATACAAAAATAGCGTGTCCTTTTTCGATGTATCTACATTTTATTTTTCTCCATTTCGATCGTATTATCTGCGTCATGTACTAATGGTTTAAATAATACAATTACATTATGCTTCACACCGAAAATTTATACATTCAAAATGAAATGAATTTCTTCTTTTTATCCTATTTGTTCGTGTGAGAGAATGTGAAACAACAACAACAAAAATCCATAAAAATATATGAATATTTAAATTACTAATTTGTTTATTCATTACTTACTTATTCAGGGCATTGAATCGATAGTGCGCAATATTTGAAAAGTGCTTTCACATAAATTGCATTCCAAATACATGTGGGTAAATTGAAATAGTTTAAATTGTCGCTGTGGGTTATTTTTTTGTATGCTTCTTCTTCTTCATCTTCTTCTTTCGTATTCAATCAACAAAATTGCAGTAAACCGTTCGAATGCAATGGTTGATAGTGTCAAAATGTATATAGCATTACGATATTATTGCGATGGTTCATGTTACTATCAAATTAAACTCTAAACATGCGAAGTTTTTCCAAGCCATTGAAATGTTTTTCGGTAAAAATGTCATTATTGTGTGCCGCAGTACGGTTTATCATTTTTGGCTTGGAAAAAAGTGAACGGGTCTTCGTTCTCGATTAGTTCAATCGCTTTTTCCGTATAAATTGCTCACGTAATGAAATTGAGTCATGCAATTTCGGACAAAGAATAAATATCTCATGTGACATGCCATTCAAACAATTTCCTATAATTTGGTAATTTTTGCAGTAAAACAGTAAATTGGTTGGTTTTACTTTATTTATTGACACTGATTTATCTGTTGGTCAAAGATTATATATCAGGTTGGTTGATTACTATTTTCTTGATATATTCAAAGGGAAAATTGTAGCGATAGTGTATTTTGTTGGAAGCTAAGGGATGGATTCGATCAGCGGAAAATGAGGCATACAGATTATGTATTTCGTCATCCAAGCGTCAAACAAATTGAAACCACAGACAAATATACAGACAATTTATTTGGATATTTGAATGGGTCAAAATAAAAATCCGACTTGTACGCAGAGTCTATAAAAGTGGAACATGGAGTTTTTTTACATAGTTTATTTGTTGTAATACAACAACAATTCTATGTAAAAAAAACGCTGTGTTCCACTTTTATTGACTCTGCGTACAAGTCGGATTTTTATTCTGACCCATTCATTTCAGCTCATCTGGCTGACGTCAAGCGCTGAAATGGAACAACAACAATAGAACTGAATTTATACCTAACGATCACTTCTATTGTTGTCGCTCCATTTCAGCGCCTGACGTCAGCCAGATGAGCTGAAATATCCAAATATATTGTCTGCAAAAAAGTAATATTATGAATGGATATTGATAGAATCCTATTATGTCAAAACAAAAATAGTAATATTAACGACGACAACTAACGTTGTTTGAATTGACAAACGAAAGAGATGAACAAATTGTAGCGTGAGAGGAAAAACAAAACTATGTTCAATGTAGTTTAAGTCGATCATTATAATGTCAATATATTGACGGCATCCGCAATTTTTTCTCCATATTTCTCATGACATTGTCCCCGTACACTAGTCGTTCATGATAAAGCGATCCATGTAATACTTTTTATTTACAAAACTATTATCGAGTGCATGTTTTTTCTTCATTTTTTGCATTTTTCTTTTTGAACAAAATTCACACACACACACACACACACACACAAACCAAAATAAATAAAAAAGATAAAAATTTATTGAAGTATATTTGTGTTGTGTGTCTTTGTCTTGATTCTCATCTTGCCGACTGAGTGATTGAAAAATTTGGTGCACAAGAAGTATGGATGGTTGTGCCGTATTCATTCCTTTGTGAATCATCCAAGCAATCATCTTTGTTGATTACTGACAACAACTACTAGTAGACGATGAAAACAAAATAATATGGAGTGCAAAGAAAATGTTTGTTGCACATCTATTCTCGTTTCTATTGAAATACTATACGAAAGAAAAACGAAAAGAAAATTGGATAGAAAAGGGTAAGAAAATTTGTTGCTTTATTCAACGAATGGTACAATCATCATAACGCCTCTGTTGAAAACTGAAAAGAATGAAGATCGACGAAAAAAAATATATAGAAAGAACGAGAAAAATGTGATATTTTTAGAACGAGAGTTTTCCAAAGTTCATAACATAATACAGCAATCATTTGAATTTGAAGAATGTATTCATTTCGAGTTCGAGCATCGACAACTAATTCATAAGCCCTTATGGTTAACAACATGTAGAGAAAGAATGTTGCAAAAATCGTTGCAACATAGCTCAAAACAATGAGTATGAGCTAGAGAGAGAGAGAGAGAGAGAAAGAAGGGAAAATGCAATGAAAAAAAATACGAAGAACATCAGGCAACAGCAAATCGACATAAATGCATGGAAAATGGATAGATATTTTGTTCTTCACTTCGTTAGAAGACAACTCATTTCCAAATTGACTAGAGAAAGTGTGTTTCAGTGGAAAACATGAGAGCATAAAATATAATGGTTACGAAAAGTGTGAGCTGAGTTGATGGCAAATGAAACATAGCAAGTTTGGTAGAGAGGCTAGCCTTACAGCGAACCACTGTGCACAGACACACGTATATATAATATATGCGAGCGTGCTAGTCCATTGGCTTAGTCTAACCAAAAATTTTTTTGCCACTTTTGGTCTCGGTAAAACGCATGCATATTTTATGGAAATAGAGCTTCAGTGCAAACAGTGTTTTGATGTTTGCCACTATGTGTCCATGTGTTTGCTGCTTGGTCATTTTGCATTCGATCTACTTTTTGATATAGATATATATTGTGTAGTGTAAATGTATAGATGGTATCATGTACCGAACATTCTCTCCCAACTAGATCCATTGATTTTAAAAGGTATGTCAATTTCCTTCTTTCGTCTCTCCGTCACTTTTTTTACAGTGCCTCAAAATGAACTACAAATATGCATCTGGCGAAAATTTCAAATTCCGACTGACTAGTTTTTCACCAGACAGAAAAGGACATGCATATTTTACCGTGGATTTTTATCTTCTCATCTATCTGAGTGTGTTCGTACATATTTTTTCTTCTCAGTTCCACTTTTTCCACATACACATACACACAAAAAAGGTCCCAAAATTACCATAATATACACTTAATTAGATTCAACAAGATCGATTCTTTTTAAATCTAACAAACATGGGAAAATCTACCAGCCAAAATGTATTTGTACCTTGAATTTTAACCCACTAACACATTGTTCGATCTCTTGAGTTAAACCACATAATTCTTTTTGCTGGTTTAATCAATGTTCCATGGCTAACATAAAGAGAAATGCAAATTCACTGGGAATAGCTTTTTTACGCCATAATGCAAACGATAATTTTCACAGTTTTGATTTGATTTCTTTGATCTGTTTTTTCCCAAATTACTTTTCAAATTGTTTTATACAATTTTATAGCCTTAAAAAAAATTCACCAATTGCAAATAAACTGTTGCGGAAAATGTGTATCTAAAGTAAGTTGAGAAAGATAAACTTGAAAGTGCTTACATCTCAACTCTGGAGCGAATTTTATCAATTATAGAATATGTTCCAAAATAATAAAAAATACTCAGAAAATATGATCATATTTATGGTATTATTTATGTTTGTTTATATTTATGCATAGAATAACTATGTTTGTTGTGTTCATGGATAAAATTTCTCATTATAATTTAAACATGTAAATACAATTTGTAGTAATCGTTTTTTCTCCAATTATCTTTGTGCTTTCATCAAATAAATGTACATTTTGTTCGATTTGATTGGGTAAATCGGTTGGATTTCTAAATTCCATTTTGGATATAGATTTAAATGTTTTCCATTCAGAGCGCATTTATTGAACTTGTATAGGTTTACACCTCAAATGCAATTTCCGTTGCGATTCACCATATATAAATACCAAATTTAGCACGTTGATAATATTTTTTTTTATTATAATCTTATGTGCACATCTGTTTTGGGTTGGTGCTGAGACGAAAAACGAAAATTGATGTACACATAACGAGCAAGCGAGTATCATATAGATGATTATGAATGCGACATAAAGAGACATGATCGCTCATCCTCTTCATGCTCAATACCCATTCCATTTCCATATATTGTATGCAGAGTATTTGCATTTGTTGAAATTTATTTCACGCGTATCATCATAAATATCAGCTAAACGAATGGATCACTTATATGGTTCCGCTGCTGCTGCTGCTTTTTTTGTTATGTATTATTCCCTTTTTTCCATTTGGAATACATACCATGTGGAACACAGCTTTCTTATCAATACGGGGATTTCTGACATTGAACGTGAAATACGTATAATATAAACTTTTTGAGATAGAGTATAGATGGTGACTTTTCTACATTTTATTGGCACAGTCTCATTGAATGGATTTATATTCAATTAATTCCACTTCAATTATTGATATGAATAGTTTAATGTCATCATATTATCCATATAAGTGAGTGTAAAAATGAGTGCCCATCTCACCCATTAAGAATGTCTATTTGCAACACAGTTCGCCTAACAAAAACTCTAAAAACATCACTATCAAAATTTATTCTAACCAGCTCTTTCTCTCTTTCTCTCTCTCGCTCCATTCTATGTATTTTTTCGAATTTCCAGCGTGAGCATAGATTCTGACGTCCTGAGTTTTAGGGGGGGTAATTTCAAAATTGTTCGAAAAATCTAATCTCTGAAAAACAACAAAAATAAATATTTTGAAAGAAAAAATTGCAAAAAACAGATCGAAAATTGCTGATCTGACGATTTATGAAGCGAATATTTTTGTATGTTTCGTTCGATTTTTTCGGCCAGACACAACATAGAAATAGAACTTTAGCTTAAGTGTTTATATTCAAATTGAATAATTCAATGCATAAAAGTTGATATGTAACATTCGATTCGATTTGAAAGTTGCTGATTTGACAATTAATCAAGCAAAAATATGATCAAAAATCAAGGGAGTAATTTTTGAGCCGCTTTTCAGGGGGATAATATGGGCCCTATTGACCCACGTCAGAATCTATGAGCGTGAGAATACCGTGAGTTAAATTTTTGAAATTCTATCATTTCATGTTATTTCGCGC